CATGCAGATCCCCACCCGTCGGGGTGCTGTGCCTCCTGGGGGGAGTCACTCCCGGTTCCATCAGAGGCAAAAATCCCAAACCAAGTGATTTTCCTGGCCAGGTCTCTCTGACGGCTACAAACTCTTCCCCAACAGAGCACACTGGGCTATAAAGCCCGACCCACCGAACGTCCACACCCAGCGACACGGGACTCTCACCTGTCCTATGACACCATTCTGCAGGAACACTCCTACCTGCCATGCCAGGTGGCCAGAGAAAGTTAGAAGACCAAAGGTAAGGCCCAGCTGGGGGGCACGGACGGACACACGGACACACACACACACACACACACTGACATTTACTGGCCGCAAGGCCAGGGATTTGGGCCACTGCTCTCCCCCACCAGCCCCCGGACCAGGACAGCTGGGCACTGCCCTGCCCTCGTGCACACACCATCTAGAGTCTGCTCTGGGCTGTCTCACCTCCTCCCAGCTTCTCTGGCCCTGGACCAAATGAGTGCCGCCAAGCAGCCCACAGCCCACGGTTGTTATCAAAACACTGCTTTGTGTCGTCTCTTCCCCCACCCCCCCCAGACAGCTCCTTGGGAGGAGGTGTGTGCACAGGGGGTGGGGGAGTTTTTTTAATTAGTATCATGCAATTCCCACCCCTGCCTTCAGTGATCATCTATAAATATTTGCATGTCCACAGAACTTTATTAGCAAGCCTCAAAGCTGGCGGGAAAATGCACAATCTCTCATTAGGGGCAACGTGACTAATGACGCATCGAAATGAGGAGCCATAATTGCACTTAAACCCAAATTAAAAATCCTGGTGCTTGCCTGTTGGTGCCCTGGAAGAAAGAAATCCCCAGGTTTTCATTGCTGAGGGAAGGGGGCTGAAATGGCCTTTGGGGCGGCGGGGGCCTGCACCTCGGGGCATGGGGGCAATGCCCTCCCCAGGGGAAGACGCCTGCCCACCTGCAGCCTCCCTAATGTGGGAGAGGGGGTCTGGCACACACAGCAGGGCTGGCACAGGGTTTCCCGAAGACTTAAAAGGGAAAGTACTGCAAACACAGCAGTGTCCCTTCCACCAGGTCCAGCCCCCGCCTCCCAAAGCCAGCGAGAGCTCTGGACCCGGAGCGGGAGACCCAGGGCCCCCAGGCCACTGTTAGGGCACCCAGGCTCTGTCCTGGGCCATCACCAACGCTGCCCACCTCAGAGCTGGCTGGCCACGGATTCCACAGGTGAACACAGGCCACCTCGGCCTCGCTGGGCCACTGTGGTGCTATGGGAATGCCACTGCCCTCCCTTGGGGACACCCCTGTATACAGCTGGGGAGCACTGTCAGAGAGAGGGGTGCTGAACAGAAACAGGCCAAGGGCGGGACACGAAATAAAGGAGGCCACACCCACCACCCCAGCCTGGTCACTTGGGGCTCCTTGTCTGGGGGGCCAGCAGCAGACCCCCTTTTCAGGGTCCGCTCAGGGACAGCCATTCCCACCCCTCCTTCCTGTTCCCAAAGGGCCTTTGGCCTCGTGAGTGTGACGTCTACTGTTCAAGAAGTACCTACTGTGTGCTCCCCAGCAGGGAGGCAACACCTGACTGCAGGTGGGGGCTCGAGGGTGAGGACTGACGTAGGGGCACCCAGGGTCCCTGCCCAGGGAGCCTGCCCACAGGTGTCTGCTCGGAATATCAGCCCCAGGACCCTGGGCCGATTTGTATGCAGTGACCAGGGGCAGTACCCCCTCAGAGGGGGTAACCGAGTGACTCGGCCCGCTGGCCCTCCTGGTGCAGGGAGGGGTGGGCGGCTCAGGGCTTGTAACACTTACCAGTCCTGCTTTCCAAAACCTTAACAGGACAGTAAGGTCTACCTCCCAGGGGGGTGGGGGAGGTGGGGGAGCCCAGCATGGGGCCCCAGGGGCTCCTCCGCCCTCCAGGCAGCCCCAAGGACCTTGCTCAGGGACCTGGGCCAGCTGGCAGCCACCACTAACTCAAGCGCCCTTGGCAGACCCCTCCTCCCACCTTGCACCTTAGGGCTCTCACTGCAGAATGGGGGTGACAGTGACTAGCCCTGCTGACCTCCCACGAGGGGCGGGTCCAGTGAGAGTGGGCGAGAAGGGCCCGTGGGAAGCACCGTGGGAGGCTGCCATCTCAGGGCTCTTCCTGTCGTTTTGTTAAACTGGAAATGGATGCCAGCTCAGAGATGGGGCAGATCCCAGGAAGAATCTAAAGGCAGGACCAGGGCACCGTGGTGGTCAGCTCCCAGGAAGGGACGGGAAGGGTCCAAAGGGAGGGGACCCAGAGCAGACAGAGCAGCACACAGCACTCACAGCAGCCCCGCCCCCACCCCAAACACCACTGCACACAGGTCCCCCGAGGCAGCTCTACCTGCAGCCAGCTCCTCTGGACGCAGGGCTGGGGCAGCTGGAAGGCAAGAGGAACAGTGTCACCCAGCACGTGCCAGTCACGCCCCTCCCCTCTGTCCGCCTACCTGGACACCTTGGCTGGGGTGGTTTCACCACGCCTCAAACTGGGGTGGGGAGGCCCTTACAGAAGTCCCCCATTTTTAAAACTCCAAGTTTAATGGGCACGGGGGGCCCTACCCCCTTGGCAGCCATCCCCAAGGCTCACACCAGAACTCAGCTGTCGTTCAGAGAAAAGCAGCCCTTCTGAGAGGCTGGGGTGGGGTGCATGGGCCTGGAGACACCCCCAGATCCCAGCCAGCTGGGAGAGGCTAGGTGTGGACGCATTCCCTACTGGCCTCTACCTGTCCTCCAGGCCCTCGCCAGAGCAGACTGGTGCTACCAACCAGATTTACTTTCTTTTTTTCCCCTTAACTTTAAGAGAGCTCATTTGCAGGCTGTTAAGCACATGGCTATGGGCCCAGAGGGTTCTTCCTAATAAGCACTCGGATGAGGCAGTGGGGACCCCACACGTGGTTAATGTACAGCCAATATCACTCACCCACAGCTGGCACCGCTCCCCTACTCCCCGTGCAATTTCGGGCCCGAAATCCCATTTTTCAAACCCAGGCGTGTGTACAGCTCGGGACCTCAAGGCCTGTGACTGAAGGGTGGCACGCGGACCAGGCCTCATCCATCCCAATGACCATCGCCTCCTTGCAGGTGCCACAGAGGAAGGAGGGAGGCCTCTGTGGAGGGGCGCAGACTTGCAAATCCAAACGCCACGACGGTTGGGTAGGTCTGAGCAGCCCACCCACTTCCCAGGTCTCTGCTTGCACATAAATTGGGGTCACAAAGGACACTCGGCTGCCGGGTGGCCCGCACGCGAGATCACTGTGCCTGATCCACAACCCTTACCGCTGGCTGGCCCCGGCCCTCAGCATTTTTCACAGTTTGCCCTTTAATCCTGGGGTAGGCACCACTAGTGTCCTCGCTTTGCACATGGGAAAACTGAGGCACAGAGAGGCTAAGCCACTGGCCCAGTGCCACCCAGGAGGTAAGTGGTGCTTCAGGGATTTGAACCTGACCTGCCATGATGACTCTCACCCAACGTGGGGCTCACAGTGGCCCCTGGTTAAGCCTTTGGCAGAGGAGGGAAGGGTGGAATTCCTACTCCATTCCCACCCACGTTGCTAGACTGACCATCTGCTCGGGTACTGGAAAGAGAGGTTTCCTCCTGGGCTGCAGGAGAGGCTGGACCGGTTCCGAAGGTTCTGCTAACGAGGCACTTAAAGCCCTCCAGAGACCAGACTGCCCATGACAAAGGGGGCGGGGACATGACAGCCAAACCCCGACACCAAACAGGCAGAGTGGGGTTGGCCCAGAGCCTGTCGAATGTCACAGAAGACCCCAGCAAGCCGAACTGCCATGGAAGAAATGACACGGGGTCAGCATCTCTGGAGGGCTTGTGCCAGGGAGCCCACTCATCAGAAGAGCCTGTCTTTCTCAGGGACTCAGGAGACAGAATAGGGCCATCAGCGATGGGCTTCAATGGTGGCAGCCTGGTTGGTTCACAAGTCAGACAAAGGACAAACAGGAGCAGTTCATTTGGGGATGGCCAGTCTAAGGCACTGGCCAGGTGGGCAGTCTGCCAGACCTTGAAATATCCTGGGTCCTGGGACCAGCAGAAGGTGAGCAGGTCGGCCATGGCCCAGGGCATTCCCACATGCCGGTTCTGTTCAGTATGGCACGCAGTGTGGTGGCCTCACCATCGTCCCTGCCTTACAGGTAAGAAAACCAAGGTACCAGGTACACACAGACTTGCGCCTAAAGTAAGTAAATGCTGATGCACGATTCTTCCAGGGCCCAAAGCCACTTTTTTATACCATCAGGCCAACGACAGCACTGCTGCAGGCTGAACTGTACCCCCCCACACCCCACCCCCGATTCGTAGGTTGACGTCTTAACCCCCAGAATGTGACCTATGTGGAGGTGGGTCTTTACAGAGGTGATCAAGTTAAAGTGAGGTCAGCAGGGTGGGCTCTAATCCAATACGACTGGTGTCCTCATAGAAAGGAGTGACCGGGACACACAGAGGGAAGACAACATGAAGACACGGGGAGGAGGCAGCCATCTACAAGGAAGGAGAGAGGCCTGAGCAGACCCTTCTCTCGGAGGGAAGCCGCCCTGCCTTAGTCTTGGCCTTCTGGCCCCCAGAACCGTGAGATAATACATTTCACTTGTTTCACCTGCCCAGCGTGTGGTTCTTTGTTACGGCAGCCCTAGCAAACAAATCCCCTGCGTGCCAGGAAATCCTGCTCCACCCAGCCCTCAGTTTCCCCATCTGTGCTTGGTATAAATCCTGGGGTCACTTCCAACCGAAGTGTTCAGCCACCCAGTGTGGCAAGGCAGGACGGGGGAAAGAGCAGACATGGAGTGAGGAGGGGGGGCAGGCAGGCAGGCGGGGAGCTGTTCAGTCCCTGGCCTGGACCCTTGCCTGCACTCCCCCAGATGGCCGCCCGTTTGCCTAATGTGACACAGCATCGCAAGCTCCTTGCCCTTTTGTAAAGCTGGCTTCTGGGCACACACAGAGGCTTCATTTATCAGCCCAGCAGGGGAGTTAACCGAGGGAATGACAGAGCTGAGGCCCAGCATCAATTACAGCCGCCCCCACCCCAGCCCGGCCGGCCGGGCACAGAGAATCCACAGGAAAAATAATAATGTGTACGCGGGCTCGAGATGAATCATCGCAGAGGAAGCAGCTGTGTTGATGAAATTTTAAAGCCGACAAGAGAAAGAAAATACGAACGGCAATACAGTAACTTAGTCTGTGAACACTGGGGCACAGTTTTAATTAAAGCTATTTTGGAGTTAAATAGAGGCCATGGGGGGAAGGGGTGGGGCAGTGGGAAGCGGGAATCCGCAGAGGCTGGCGGCAGCACTCCCACCACTCAAACCCCAAAGCCACAACCCCTTAAGACGGTCCAAAGAATAATATCGCTCTCACTGGCTCTTCGCCAACAGGCAGATTCCCCACTTTGCACAGAGCTGGAGGTTTCTGTGCAATTTGATTTCAATGATAAGACTTAAGTGCTAGAATCACAAAATCTCATAAGCCAGAGCTCATGAGGCCAAGGTCAAAGTCCCACCCTTTCTTCAAGATTCCCAAATATGGTCATCCATCCATCACTTGATTACCTCCAAAGATGATACACTCACTACCTTATAAAGCAGCTCACCCTCGGTTGAGCAGACCTTCCTTATTCTGGGCAAGAACCAGCCTCCTCTCTTGACCTAAGACTCTGGGTAAGGGGGCAGCCAGGGGCTCCCCAAGATGCATCCGCCCAGTCCAGTGTGTTGAGCATTGGAGGTTTGACCACTCACACCCTGCAGCCCAGTCCTTGAGTAGCTCACAGTCCAGCAGTGGTGAGGGCCAGGCTTCCCGAGGGAGGATCCCACTACCCTGCCAACACGGGCAGGCAGCCCACGGGGCTGAGAGCTCAGAGGACGCACGAAGCCTCTTGGGGGTGGTTGGAAAGGCTGCTGGCAGGAGACCACACCTGAGCTGGGAGCCCATGACTTGCAAGAGTCCAGGAGGAAGGCTAAATAAACCCCACCTTCCCTGGACCCGCTTAGAAAAAGGCCAGTGCTCACACAGGCCCAAGCCCTGGCTGCGGGCTTTCTCCGCCTCTGCTGTCCTCCAGCAGTCCCCCTGTACACGAGAGTCCTGCCGGCCGGGACAAGGAGGTGGTCAGGCAGGGACCAGAGTGAGACTGGACAGCAAGCTCCCTGGTGGCAGGCCTCTGCCTGGTCACCCCTGGCCCCCCAGGGCCATGCACTCAGCAAGTCATCAATTATACTGAATGAGTGTCCATTTTATAGGCGAGCAAACGGAGCCTGGAGAACAGGAAGTAGCTTGAGGATCCTTATAAGGCTGCGCCACCCTAGGAATCCAAAGGCAAACAAGGTATGAACTGCCACCAGGAAGCCCAGGGATGGGGGTGGCCCTTCTCTCACTGTCTCTCTGTCTCTCACTCCTCCTCCTGCATGGCTCAGGACAGCAGAGCCCTCCTCCAAGGCCAGCTACACCCACCCACTGGGGACAGCGAGTGGCAGAGAGCCCTGTGGGTGACCCTGGAGACACTTGGCCAATGCCACCGGCCACCGGCCACCGGCCACGGGTGCTTGTGCTGACTGTAGGTTGAGGGTCAGACAAATGCAAGTGGGCTCTCAACGCACCAGCCAGGCCAAGGCCCCAGCAGCACAGCACCCGGCGGCCGCCTTCCTGGGATGCTGGGTGTAGCTCTGACACGGGTTCCCTGAGACACCTTGGGCAAGGCCCCAGCCCACCAGCAGAGTCCCTGCTGAAGAAGAGACAAGGGAGGGGACCTGGGTGACTACCCCCCATGACACATGCACGCACACACAGCTGTCACCCGAGCAGCTCCGCTTCGTTAGGCTTCGTTCAAGGAGAAAGAAAAGTTCTACAGACGCTTGGAACCTTCCATGCTGGGAGGCGTCTGAATTCCCAGCACTTCTCCTGTTCCAGCAGCGAGCAAAGAAGACCATGTTCTTGCCCCTAAATCCCAACCTAACTGCCTGCAGCCAGCAAGCCTGGGTCCGGCCGAGGGTCCACATGCCCCCATCTGACCATGTCTGCGCCCAGGGTGGCTGGCCCAGGCGTGGGCACAGCTGGGGGACAGAGCCCAGGGATGCTGCCTCCAGGCCGAGGCCCGAGTCTGATCGCTGGGAGCGGTCAGAGCCGGCTGGGCGAAGGGGAGAGGCTGGGCAGAGCCACCTGTGCCCAGGTGGCTGCTGTCCCCCTAATGTCCCAGCCTCCCATCACCACCCCACGCACAGCAGGAAAGGGACCCCTGTCCACCACCAGCTCTGCACACGTTGGCATGGGGCAAGAGGACATTGGGGGACACATTTATGGGGGGCTCCCTTGGGAGACCAGGGGGTGCACAGTGAGGAATAAAGAGCTGTCACCCCGTGGCCTGAGCGTGACACGTGTTCCTCAAGGCCCGGCCCACCACCTGGGGCTGGGGTGTGTTTTCCCAAGGGGACAATGTGGTCCAGGACAGCAGGGGCCACGGAACCAGGGACACCCCTGTCCTTGTGGAAACAGAGCCACAAGCGGTGTTGATTGATATGGGACAGCAGTGCAGGCAGCACCCCAAATCAGGGCTTGAGCTCTCATCCTGCTTCTCCATGGAGCCACGGGACAGAACGAACAGACCAGGGGACACGCGCACAGCCGCCGACCCCGCCGGCCTGAGGCCTCAGCCACCAGACGTGGTCCTGGCCTCATTCTGAGGCCCAGCGCCCGGGGCGGCTCTCTCCCCTGCTCGCTGGCCGGGCACCTGCTCCCGAGCCCTGTATCGCTTCCACCCGCAGCTCCCGGAGCCCAGCCCACACCCCTCCTTAGCAGCCACGACCGCCCCAGGTCAAGCCCACGTGGAACATGGTTGGGTCTAAGGAGCCCCAGCCCACACAGCAGGTGAGGCCCCAGCTCCTCCTGACGCTTGCCCGCCCCAGGAGCCAGCCAGACTTGTGACCAAGTCACTCCACCGTGAGGGACCTGAAACCCCCACACAAAGTTACAAAACCAGCCTTATCACACCATGCCTGCCTGGCTCTGCACTGGAGCATGGTGGGGAGGGGGCAGCGGCCATGGGGGTGAGGGATGACAGGCAGCCCAAACCCGCACCCTGTATGTACTCCGCCGAGTCCTGCAGAGCTGTGGGAACTGTCCATGCAGACCGAGCAAGGGCGAGGTATGCCCCCAGCAGCTGCCCAGTGGGCAGGGAGGGTGCCTCAGGCTCCCTGAGCAGGGCAGTGGCGCCAAGCCCACTGGTCGCCTAGCAACTGGGGCCAGGCAGCAGAGCCTTCCCCGGGGCTGGTTCCCAGAGAAATGCTGTGGGCATCCCAGCTGGCCAGCAATTTATGGACCAGGGTTGTGGCAAGGGAGGGAGAGGAGAGATTAAGCCAGGGATGGGTACAAGGGAGAGAGGCTACAGGGGCCGGGCCAAGCCAAGGGACCCCCTAACCCCAGCTGGGGCTGATCACAGCCTCCCATCACTGTCCCTCGTGCTGGCAGCTGCGCCCCGCCACACTCCAGCAGCACTGCCCTGCCCTGCCCTCACCGTGCACGACCTCACCACTGCAGGCCCTCGTCACCTCGCCTCTAACCCGCCGTCCCCGTGCTGGGGAGGTGCTGAGGCTGAGACATGGCCTCATCTGTCTGTGGGCACCAGTCAGGCCCGGGAGGGAGGAAGAGGACCCCAGGCCGGAGAGGCCTGGGTGTGGCAGGGGCGGGCAGGTCTCCATGCGGGTCTGAGGGAGGCCTGCTAGCCCATCTCTCCGGCTTTGATTCACCCAGCTGTCAGAAGGCCAAACAAAACGGCCTATTTCTTCAGCAACTGTGTACCCATACCATCTCTGGGACAGGCCCAAGGAGCTCGCAGACCACTGGGGGACAGAGTGAAAGGATGTGACAGAGGGTACCCCAGAAGCAGTGGAGCAAGGGTTAGGTGCCTGCATTCCACAAGAAGGCTTGGGGTGGGATTGGCGGGGTGTGGGAGGTTACCGGTGTGAAGGGGAAGGGAGCCCAGGTAAGCTGGGACAGGGGAGCGCACAGCAGCGGCGGGTGGCTGGGTGGAGGGCTCACGTGGGCCCTCGGGCATCCACAGACATGGTCCCCCAAGTCCACCCTCAGCCGGCCTACCTGTACGGGGAGCTTGTCCCCCTCCAGCAGCTTCACCTTGGTCTCCAGCTGTCTGATGTAAGTGGATGAGGGATCTGTAATGACACAAGAGGGGGGCACATCAGCCATCAGACCTGGTCTCCATTGGGAGAGCTGCCCTCCCCCAGCCCCCTGCAGAAAGGAAATGACGGGTTCGCTCGCCAGCTGGGCCTGGTCCGATTCCTTCCGCCTCCACAATGCTTCGCGCCCGAGAAGAGTCCTCAGCACTCCCCTGATGGGACCCTCACAACCAAGGGCAGCCCACCCCAAGGTCCAGGGTCCAGGAGGAGAACCCGAGGCCCTAAGCATGCCCACTCAGCCTCTGAGGCCCTCTGCCTGCCCCGCGCCTGAGAGCAGGGACTTCTACAGTCAGTGGAGGAGGCAGGTGAGCCACCGCCTTCCTGCTGGACTCTTACCAACTGGAGCCACCAGGAGCCACGTGCGGGGACAGCCCAGCGACACGTTCCCCAACTGTCCCCCGTTTCTGAATGCAGCAGGAGGGGCTGAAATCCACGCCCCCCGAACCACGCTGACCCTCTCTTACAATCATATCAGGAAAGGAGGCAGGATTCCACCAGTCTGCCACCCGAAGCCCTAGTCCTGCCTCAGCCATGACGGTCAGAGGAGAAAAGTGATGACAAAGTCATCCAGGCCAGGCTGAGAGGAGGGAACCTGGCTGGGAACGGCCAGGGGAGAGGGGAGGCATGGGGCCGGGCAGGTTAGAGCAGGGTGGGCAAGGGGACCAAACCGTATGGGCAGGTGTAGGTGCGGAAAGCAGGGAGTCAGGTCCTGAGCAGACATCATGGGGCACCTCCCCCAGCGTGGTCAGCAGCCACCAGGTAGGGACAGTCTTTGCGCCTCTGGTCCACATGAGCACCTTGCCAGAGCTCACAGGGCCCAGAAGCCAGCGCGGACCCTACCCACCCCCAGGCCAGCCACTGCTCCTCCTGCTGTGCACCCCCCAACAGAACACAGGGTCTTCGCAGATCACATCCCTGACCCTCTGTCCCAGAAGGCGCCAGACCCTCGACCAGGGCCAGCTCTCTAATCCCCCACACTACCACCTTGGGGACTCAGGGCAGAGGCCGCACCAGGCTTTTAACACTCCTGGGTGGGCAAAGGGGGCTTGGGTGCTGCCGCAGAGCGAGCCGGACCATCGTGCGCTCATGGGCATAATGAAACGCCTGTCCACACTCAGCCACAGGCGGCACCACCCCATGGGCCCGGCCCCTTGGCGTCCTCGCAGGTGGCGTGGCTGTCAGGCCCTTCCCCCACTGGTGCCCTGGACGACTGCGGCAGCAGCAGCTCTCTCCCCAGAATGCCGTGACCGTCTTGCATGCACCAGGGCTTGGCCCAGGCCCCAAGAATTCCTGCCTATCAGCAAGGCTGTCCCCAAGGCCACCCCAGTGTGAGCGGCAGCTTTCCTGCATGGGTGCCCCGTGTGCCCCTCGACCTGCCTCACTTTGCTCCCTAAGCACATGGAAGGACCCTGAGGAGCCCTGCCCAGCCAGCCCCGGACCAGGCCCACGAATATTTGCATTTTTCAGCATCAGGCCCAGCCCTGAACCACACACCAATTCCTCCCACACCAGTCACCTCTCAGGAATGCAGCCTTCTAAGAGGGAGAACAGTGGCCCCTGCCAGCCCACCCCACCTTCAGCCCCAGGGGTGACACTGGTAACCACAGGCCAGCTCGGCCAGGGAGCCCTGCTGGGGGCGGGGGGGGGCTCCCACACACTAGCCTCGCCTCATCCCAGCTCTGAGTAGCTTCCTTTGACAGCTGAGGAATCAAGGTTCCGGTGAAGTAGCTTGTTCACAGCATAATGCACAGCAGGTGGCAGAGGTGGGACTGGACCCCAGGC